CTGTCAAATTGCTCCCGTCCAAACTGTCTATAGTTAAATCTCCCCTTCACAACATTTTCGTTTGTAGAGCCTTACGAAAATTTTGTCCCCCAAAAATTTACTGCACTCCCTTCAAAATTTTGGGCCCCGTAAAATCACACCCAAAATTTGTTTTTCCGCCCCCGAGAAGCGTAACCAAACGATTAGTGGGTGACCTTTCTTTTTATAAACTTGTCTAAAACACAATTTTTAAAATTTTCTCTGACATACATGCTACTCCCCCCCTTTCCCGTTGACCCTGTCAGTGTGGAATAAATTTTTAAACTTTGATGTGACATTCAGAGGCATTTTATCTTTCAGATTGAGGCAGGGCCTGTTATAGCAATAATACTGTTCCCCCACTTGCAATTAATCTTAGCTCATTATCTTATTTTTACACTCTGCATTTTTATAGTAAAACCTTAAGGGGAAATAGTCCCCTTTCTGCTATACCGCCAAACTATATTTAATTAAAGCTACCCAAAGTTCTCGCCGCAGTGACGCTACCTGGGCGTTTGTTCCACTCTTCTACTCTATTACCAAATTAGTAACTCTCACTCAAAATTTTCGATGTTTATGCCAGCCTTCATTTTGTCCGCCTGTTTCTATGTGATAAAGCTTCATTAGACTAATTAAGGTGATGAACCTGGGTTGAAATGAACAAGAGTATTTTGTTGTATATAGCATTCTTGAATTATATTTTATTAAGCATGCATCAAAACATACAATAAATTTGTGCCTTAACAAGTCATAGTGGCAAATTTGAACATGAATACCGTTTCTCATGAGAATGTTGACAAGCCAAGGTTGGTTCTGCTTTGTGTCTGACATGATTAATAGCATCTGATGACAGGTCTGACCCATGCTGGGCAGGTCTTACTTAATTCCTGTCCTGTCATCCTCTCGTTAAGCAAAGTTAGGTCTGCTGTCACTGTCAAGAGTGCAAGCACCTCACTTTCTTTAATCACTTTCATTTATGCACACACACACACACACACACACACACACGAGGTTTGATAAAGCTCATGGAGCGGGGAGAGAGAGGGCCTAGTAGCAACCGGTGAAGAGGCGGGGCCAGGAGCTAGGACTCGACCCCTGCAACCACAAATAGGTGAGTACAAATAGGTGAGTACACACACACCTTGCCATTTAATTCTAGTTGTTATTTTTATACTGTGTCAAAGGCTAACCAATTACATCATGATTCTGAACCGAGACGTTTTAGATGCTATTCGTCTGCCTCATTCTTATCAACATACATTTCTGTTAAGCCTGTCAAAATTTGTGCAAATTTTATAGTAGACTAATATGTAGCATCAGTTGGAATAAATGAAGTATCATATGAAGTTGCTAATGTACCCATGATAAACATTTGTTCTCATCTTTGAAAAAAAAAAAACCTTGTTTGTTTTCGTAGATCTGCCCAACCAAGCCAGTGCACGAATGATTCTTTGGGACATAACAAATGTTAATAGTCGAAGCTGCGGTATATTTACAGTCGTAGAATCAAGAAAACTGCGACAATAATAAATAAATACTTAGATTTTCTTTAGCACATGCATCAGTAGAAATTTAAATAATAATGGCAGACAAAATGGATAGTTTTAATGACAACATATGACTGGAGTACAATTTTTTCTTAATTTACCGAAGTTTTTCTGTATTAGGATAATTCTATAATCTCAATACTATTTTTTTAAATAGCAAGCGTGTAAAAACCTTAATAAGATATAATATATAAGATATAATATACAAGATATATAGTATACACCTCTCGTTGTACATTATACACCGAGAGGTGTATTTCTCTAAGTGTATATAAGCTGAGAGTGTAATCCCTATTTTAGGGAGGTAGCAAGTGCTCCTAATGGTTGTAATCATAACCATGATTTTTAAAGAGAAAGACAAGTAAGCCAGCGGAAGGCCTCGGTCAGATGATCAAAAGCTCCAGCTGTGAGTCATCATATGATTAAGACCAGCGTCAGGAAACACTTGTCCTGTTTGGAAATAAATGGTATAAAATACCGACACAATGGCAATATAAACACAAATGCAGTATAATGTGATCCTTTATTGACTACGTTTCGCCCACACATTATACTGCATTTGTGTTTATATTGCCACTTGTCCTGTTTCCTGACGCGGGTCAGGAAACAGGACAAGTATTCTTGTCTGGTGAAAGGGTTACGTGTAGTCTTAATAACTCCAGTATAGTCAATAAGCTTTTAAACCCCACTTACCAATTATTAACCTAAAACCTTGAAAGAGAATAAACAACAAAGGTTGACTAGCAGAGGCATGAAGTGAGAGAGGAGAGAGGAGAGGAGGAAAGGTGACTAAGAATAGCCACGCTTGGTGTCCACTTGCACACACTTGCGGCCTATTTTGCGGAAAGCCCGACATACGTCACTATAAAACACACGATACGAGCACACATACACATACACACACACACACATACACACACACACACACGCACACACACACACACACACATACACACATACACACACACACGCACACACACACACACACACACACACACACACACACACACACACACACACACACACACACACACACACACACACACACACACACATATATATACCAACAACACACACACACACACACACATAACACACACACACACACACACACACACACACACACACACACACACACACACACACACACACATACACATATATATACACACACACACACACACACACACACATACACACACACACACACACACACACACACACACACACACACACATACACACACACACACACACACACACACACACACACACACACACACACACACACACACACACACACACACACACACACACATACACACTTGACATTGCCTTCGCTAACAGTATGTCCCAACAATATCATTGTTTATAATAATAATATTTATGTCTACAAATATATAATGCAACTGATGCAGACCTAACTGAGCATTTAAGGAAAGTTAGGTTAATCTTGTCCCACATGATGGGACCCACAACAGTCAGCTAACACCCAAGTACCTACTTACTGCTAGGCGAACAAGGACAGCACGTGTAAGGAAACATGCTCAAAGTTTCACCCGTGCCGGGGATCGATCCCAGACTTCAGTGTGTGAGCTGAGGACGCTTTCAACCAAGCCACGACCTACTAATGCATAGGTATTTCGTAATCATGGATTGAGTTGGCATATCTAATCTCTCAAGTCTTAATCCATCCGCCCTCGTGTTAACCTGCGGTGTATTTAATTACATTACATTATAAATAGTGGCAAAATTAGACGCTAAAAAGTTAATTTTGCAACAGATTTTGGGGGAGCAAGTATGAGTTTCCCAATGGATATCTTTCTTCACACTTAAGAAGGAAATATATGATTTGGCGTAACAATAACTTGACTGCCTCAAATATATGATGTATTTTGCATAAAATGCTGATATTGGCAATAACATTGGAGAAAACAGGTTAGGTAAGGTTTGTTAGGAAACAAGACAAGTGTTTCCTGACGCGGGTCTTAGTCATGTGATGACCCACAGCTGGAGCTTTTGTCATCTTACCGGTGCACCCCTATAAAAATTATGGTCATAATTATGACCATTAGATAGAATGACTTCTATTTGGACAGAATTGTATTTCAGATGTAGATATAATGAATCTGATTTTTCTTTCATGTGTACTTAGAGTATTCTATATAAAACGGACGAAGCTTCATTTTAAACGGTTTCAAAATTAGGGCATAAAATATTTTTTACATAATTGACTTTATGGCTTTCTCTTAGCTTTTATGTGCTTTAAATTTAATAAGGTATTGTTGAATTTTTCGTTGAACTTTCAAGGACCATAGTGGTCACGCCCATACGACTGACTGTAATTCTCTAATTCCTTTAAAACATCGGCCATGTCTAACAAGTATGGCGACCCAAGAAAGAACTCGTAGTAGTTGTCGCTTGCACCTAGTTGCCTTTCCTCACAATCTGATGATTGATCAGCAAGAAGCAACATCCCCACCCGACTTACAAAATGCAACGTACGCTCCACTTATCACCTCAAACTTTAGACTAGGTACCCGGTTTTCACGAATCTGCAGACATTACCCGTGAGCACACCAACAACAGGTGAAATCTGTCTCAAATCACTTGTCTCCTCTACGATCCGATATGCCTACTGCTGGTGACTGGGGCAACAAGCCGACTAGCACGCGTAAAGACACGTAATATGGGACAAGACTATTTTAGACGACGTTCCGCTCGTGAGTGAACCTTACCAAGGCTATAGTAGACCTGAAAATGCTCACTCCCGAGCGAAATATCTTCCAAAAATAGTCTTCCTCGACATAACGTGTCTTTATACATACCTGACGCTAAGGGGTGTCCAAGTTCCTACCTCACAGTACCACTTTTACATCCTCAAACTCATCCTTGAATGTATAAACATGAGACAATGGAAGAACACCTCGTCGTTAACACAGTAGTATCAAGATAACACTTAATCTTAATTCCAACGAATCCAAACAAACTGTCACGAAGTGCTACGCATCTATTGTTTTTTTTTTTTTTTTTTTTTTTTTTTTTTTTTTGCTCAGGTTGCTCTCGACGAGAACTGATAATGGCGATGACACCTGTCATTAGCAATGTCGACGATGTATGTTTTGAGTAATCCTTTAATTTTCTTAAACAGAAACACTTCAAAGTGCCCGTAACACTGATGCAGCAGAAATAGTCAAATCTCGATCAATTTTGTGCAACAACACTGGCTAGGCTCCTGCTGATTCCGATTTTTTATATAAACACTTTAACCAGCTGTAAATAAAAAATCATGAAGTATTTGATATAGGTAGCACCTCCTTGATTAGCTGATGTTAAGAACGTCTCTGAAAACTCTTGAAGTGATAAATTGCAACAACACTTCCATGTCGATGCAAAAGAAAACGGTATGAGGCTGAGCCATCTTGAGGTGACTTACTTATTCTTCATGGTTGCGACTTGTCCTGGAGACGAGTGAAGACCGACTGGTGGCAATTGTGGTACCCTTGGCTTGCTGTAGCCAGTGCTTGGCATCCGGCACCATCACGGGCACATGGCTCCTCATCTCCATGCCGCTAGCTTTCGTGATTTTCCTGAAACAATTTCACCGTGAATTTTCTTGTTCGGTGTCCATCTCAGTACACCATTTTCTAAAATATATTTGATTTTGGGAGGCTCGTTTTCAATTGATATAGGTTTAACCATGCAGTAGTATAATGGCTTCTTATGGAATTTGTTGAATTAGCTGAGCGAAACTTAAGCAAGGTTAGCCTCGTAGTGACTTCCTAAAGATACCGAGAGTGCTAGCCCCGCCTACATGGACGCTTGAGAAAAACAACCTGCTAAATCCTTCCATTTATAACACAGAATATTGGCTCTTCTGTCCCATTGAATAATGATTTTTTTAGTTCATCATTCGCAGTGGATTTAGCTTTCACATCCGGGGAGGTTACTTAAGCCTGGCAGTAAGTGGTGAGAGTAACGCAGCCCTGAACCAAGTTTGATAAAATATGTAGTTAGGAGATTTCACGGGAGACACCCATGCTCTTTTTAGGTACCTGGGCACCTAAATAAATAGATATATAAATATATGTACTTCTGATACCCCCATGAGATAGGGATGGGGATTTTCAGGTATTTATCCTGTTAGAGACATCAGTCTAGTCTGCCAGTGAGTCTGACAATCAGGTCTGAGCTTCCCTTCCCTCCCCTTCCTCAAATGAGGAAGAGAAGAGGGAAATATTTCGTATACGTGAGATGCAACACAGATTTGGTTGTCAAGACGCCACTGTTGGGCCAGCAATAGGTTTAAGGTCAAGCTCAGGATGGCTTAAATACTAGATCTGCAATGAAATGAGAAATTTCCCGAAACGTGAAAGAAGCAAATTGTGTTGATATTAGGATCTTTATGTATGAATTCAGCAACAGCTGAAGAAGAGGAAGATTTCATTTTCATTAATAACTCGGAGGGTTAGTAATCCAGGATAAGTCAAGAAAGCCAGCCAGGGCGGCTTATTTTAAAAGGGATCCATTGATCCTGTTCCCCGTGGATATGGGGTGCACAATAAACTAGCCACTTCGGTGACACAATCTAATCTAAATCTATCCCTGGATGCGACCCACAACGGTCGACTAATCCTCAGGTAACACTTTACTGCTACGTAAGGACAACAGGTGTGAAGAAGCATGTCCACCCGGCCAAAGATTGAACCCAGATCTATAGGCTGTGAACTAAAGGCAATGAACAACGGGGCCATCAATTTGGTCCTTAGGATTCCTTTCACAATCTGCACCTTCATCTACCTCCCATCATCCCAAATCACACAATACCTTCTGATAGTCATGAACCTATTTGTTATCGTATATATTTATATGCATGTGTGCACAGATGTAATAGTTATTTCATGCAGAACAGTGCTATTGATAACACCAATTGCATTTTTAAATGTGACATTTCTGCAAAAGAAATTCATGGCACCGCAATTACAATTCCTACTGTATGTCTGTAATGTATGATAAGTCCTACAACACACTGTATGTAAATCACACTTGCCAATCATTGAAATATGAAAATCGTTATACAGTAAACTGCCAATAATTTCGTCAAGTAAATAATAGTACTACTTCAATAATAATAATAATAATAATAATAATAATAATAATAATTATTATTATTATTATTATTATTATTATTATTATTATTATTATTATAACAAAATAAAAGAGAGCGAAGCCTTACATATTGCGAAGTACAGGTGACAATGAAACTGTCCACCCATTGGCACACGAGACAACAGAAAAAATCTTGGCAGCTTAAACAGCAGAAAAACTCTTTGGCATATACAAGGCAGAAAAACTCTTGGCAGGTGCCTGAATAAACGCACTAGTGCCCGTGCTCTCTATAACGAAGTATTCTACCCGCTTCAACATTTCTGCAGGACCCACACGGATTTAGTGCTCTTTAATAATAATAATACACACGGAAAGGTGTCTCTCTCGGCATACATTTACTCTGATCACTACAATAGGAATTAAGTATTCTTTGTCCGGCGAAGAAAAAGGTTAGTATAGCCAGATAGACTTTAAACCCCATTAACCATCCAACCACACCTGATTACCTCCCGTTCCTTAGGTTCTGTATGACCCCTAGTTTAACGCCTTTCAATCGGCCATCTGATCATAAATATTTATATAAATTCGGGGAGGACTAGATAGTCCGTAGGGGTTTAGCGCTTCTCCATTAACTTAACAATAGTATATTAAGAGGTTGCACCTACTTGGCTCCGTAATACGCGAGATCAGTGACCAGGTGAAGGGGGATAATTGTGACCTAGCTGGTTAATCCAGGCCCCAGTGATAGCCACGCACCTGAGCGTACGAGGATGCAACCAGCACTGGTAATAGATTAAAGGAGATATCATCTAACATTACCTTCTTAGTACAGATTACGACATCCTTATTTTAAGGGGTTCAAGTACTCTCGACTGGCAGTGAGCAGGTGATATGCAGCTTTAATGACCCTTTGGGCTTTGAGCAGTCGATAGGCTTTAAGGCAAATTAACCAAATGACCAGAAAAGACACTGCAGAACAAAACTTAACTGAGACAACGTTGCGTTACGTGCAGTGATTGATCAAGTTATGATATACTTTATAAAGCTCAAAACAAAGTGAAACTTTGTTGTAATGAAAGCTTGCCGTTCAACATTTCTTCCCTTCATCCACCAGATCGCTTGGCCGAGCTCCCATAGCTAGCTTTCGTTACCAGTGTGTAACTGTCATATAGAACAGGGGAACATGTTCTGATGCTGACTGGCGAAGAGTGTGCAAAAATGAGAGAGCAGAATGGTGTGCCTCAGGGGGTCAGTATTGGGACGACTGTTTTTAACATATTTACATGAATGACGTACATGAGAGAATAAATAAGAAACACAAGTAAGCTTGCTGATGATACCCCTCAAGGGAGGTTCCTTGACGCTGGTGAGGGGCTCTTGATCTAGGGAATTGGATTTGTGCTCCAGTTCTCTGAATTGAGCCTGAATGCCTTCCATCCCCCCCACATGCACTGTATAATCCTACGGGTTTAGCGCTCCCCATGACTATAATAATATAATAATTACTGATGACAGTGATATTGGCCTTCAGATCATTAACGATGAGGACACTAGAAAGCTACAGGACGGCTTCGTAAGGTTGAAGTCAGTGAAATGATAGATGCAGTTCAGTGTGGACTAATGTAAGATTCTATTCATAGGAAAAAGGAAATAACTATAATAGTTATAAGTTAAATAGTGTAGATCTTAGACTGAATGCAAAAAAAGAAAAAGAAAAAAGATTTAGGAATTCCGGTTAGCAAAAATTTAAAGCCAAGACAACAGTGTATAAGTGTCCACAATAAAGCTATTAAATAGAATCCTAGGCCTCACTTCAGGAATTATAAATAATGGTTAGACCTGCTGCTCAGTTTTGGTCTCCACATTACATGAGGGACCTAAATGCGTTCGAAAACATACAGAGAAGGATGACGAAGCTGATTTCGCATATTAGATACATTTCCTACGAAAATAGACTGAAGGCATCAAACATGCACTCTTTGGAAAAGCTTAGGAAAAATATGAATAAATGAAGGGTATATACAATGCATGTTGAAAATGTCTAATCAAGACAAGACTCGCAGCAATAAATTAAAGTTCAAGAAATTTAGATTCAGAAAGGATAATGGGAAGTACTGATTTGGCAATAGAGTTGTAGATGTGCCGAACAAACTCTCAGGTAGCATCATTAAGGCAATAACGTTGTGTAGCTTTAAATATAGGCTGGAAGGTTACGTAAGTGGGTGTGGGTGAGTGTGAATTAGATCTGCCTAGTATGGGCCAGTAGACCTGCTGCAGTGTTCCTTTCGTATGTTTTTTTTATGAGTTGTTCTAGGCTAATGCCAGAGTGAGGACAATTCAGAATATTTTGAATGTGAAATGAATTATATTTTATACGGTTTTAATCACTTGTTATACAACACGTTTCGCTCTCCTGCTACATTATTGTTATAATCAAGAGGGAGCGCTAAACCCGTAGGATTATACAGTGCCGGTAGGGTGTGTGGAAGGTATTCAGGCTCAGTTCGGGGAACCAGAGCACAGATCCAATTTCCTAGATCAAGAGCCCCTCAACAGTGTCAAGGAACCTTCCTTGAGGGGTCTCCCGCTACAGTGAAGGCCTCGAAGCCTAGGGTCACATACGAACTGATTGGGTAGGCCGAGACATTGGTTGGTTGAGTTTAATTAAAATCTATCGACTATTTAAAGGGTTATTAAGGCAGCATAACACCTGCTCACCACAAGTCAAGTATACTTTAACCCCGAAAATAAGAATAAAGTAGTGTCAGCGTATATACACCTTTCGGCGAACATATCCTGAGGATTTTCAAGAGGGTATAAAGACAGAATGCATTCCTGTCACATGCATGACAGCATACTTCTCATACACACGATGAGTCACTCATGACTACAGACGTTTTATATACATGACTGCATATCTTTCTCAACAGTTTCTGTTCTGTCTCGTTAGACCAGGTATCTTTGATATTAAGGGCTCTTTTGACAAATACTGCCCTAACAGTAGGTCTGACAGAAGTGGCAGAGATGTAGCCCCGGTGTCAATGATCGCTCTGCCTGGCTGTCATGTTCCTCTGTAACCTGTATGTTCCTAGGTCGTCGCTACCATGTTCCTGAGTAGCTGTCATGTTTCTAAGCAGCTCCAAAATTATGCTCTGATAATGCTTAATTCACAAATAACCCGTTTCGGTCCTTCTTGGACCATTTTGTAGTTGACGTGATAAAACTGGCTAGTTACTAATTTTACTAATTACTATATACTTCATATAAATAATCTCACAAATTTAATATAATGTTCACTGTTTTTCCATCTGAACTGTATTACTTTGCTGCGCATTTAGGTTCATAAAACTGTCTGACGTATCTGTCTACTCCCCAGAATGTTACGATTGTTTTCCTCAGATGTTGTAGCGCAGCGAAAAATAGTAAATTAATGAGTGTGCCTTAGCCTTGTGGTGCCTTTGTCAGCGTTCACCACCAGAGCAGC